TAGACCTTTTCATATATGGAAATTTAATTATATGCCTTGCGTTCCTATTGGCTGTCAAATCTTTGATGATTAAATGCATGGGACTGGAAGTATGTAATTGGAAAAGTGCATGAAGATACATGACTTTTTAATTCATGTCTATTCATTTTTATAACGGCCATGCAAAATGTTGTATGGATTTTAATTGAGATCTGAACTCCATTGAGACAGTGGGCACTTGTCGGGAAGAAGTACCATAAATTCTTTCCCGCCACATGTCGTTATGTACTGCCAACTATTATGTTATGCCATATTGGAAATTAAAGTATTGCAATTGTTAATACATGGCTAACCCAACACATTTCTTTCTAAGATACTTGGCTGAATATTGAACCGGTGCATGCGTCCACGCAATTTTGGAAACGGGATCTATATGGCATGAATTAATTGCTGAATTCTGTTGGCACTGATTATGTTTCATTTTATTATTTGAAACTGTTGTAGGAAGAATTTGGTGGTGTCTGTTCAGTATTTTAATTAAATGACTGCAAGTGCATGCCTACCCACCATCCACTCATGTAGGTGATTTGGTGCTAATATTATTAAATGACAGTTTGATTATTGATAGATAATCAGCAAGCCGTATGGACTTGGAAACTCGTGGAAGGTTAGTTTCTTTTAAGTTTGGAATAAACATATTCGTTGTTATTCCTTCTTCGCTTTGAATAGGAAAATTACTCCGAACTATTGGACATGTTTAAATGTTGGAAGAATGCCAACTACTTGTGAAAGTATGTGAACTTCCATGACCATTTCTCTACTAGAAAATTAAAAATGACATGATAAATTTGTTTCATTGATTTCATGTCTTGTTGAACTCATATTAACTTAGGTTAAATTGATAGCCTCATTTAATCCTATGGAATTAAGTGAGATGATTATATGTCAATTATATTTGCATAAAAGCATGACAAATTGTGATTTGTCCTAATTTATTTTAAAGCGGAAGATGCTTGCGCATTTATTGAGAAATGGAAATATTTTGTAGAGCATAAATTATGTTTGCATACTAGTATGACAAAATTTATAATATGCTCTAAATAACCTTCATGTATAAAGGATATTTTGATCATGGTTGTTATTCGGTGATTAATTCCAATATATGGGCTGTCACATTTGTTTGGATAATACATGAACCTACTTGAGTAGCCCACATGTTTCTATAGGGCATCATTTGTTGCACGTTGTATTTGTCATTATGTTGGTTTATGGACTTCGAAGTGCAAGTAAAGCACATCCATATTTATGCTTGAAAAGGCATTAATGGTCTATGAGATGACCTTGATCAAATGGTGTGATCAAAATTAAAGATAGTGAATTAAAAGTACATTGTGACTTAACAATCACTATCTGAAATACTTAAAACTTTCACGGGTATTATCAAAGTGATAAGTGAATGAACTATGAAAGAGTTAATATACTCGAAGTTCAAGTACAATCCCAAATGTGGGGTTAACATTTTGAGGAACTCTAAGTTCGAGTATAACCCGAAATGTGGGGGTAAATAGTAATCTTATGAACTTATATGAAAAGTTCAAAGATATATGGATGCAACATTACAAGATTGCATAAGAATTCCTATTTTGAGGAATTGACGGGGTAATTTAGTTTAAAAAGTTACCGTATCATTTACCTTTTGATCATAGAAATACATCTATGATGGAGAAAGATAGAGAAGGCCCTGTATTTTTAAGGATGAAACGCACTAAGTCTAAAGTAGATGAAATGGGTAAATGCCGATTGTAGTGCTTGCAAAACCAGTGGAATATTTAAATAATATTCATTGAAGATCATTGTAATGATTCAATGATGATAAGTGAATACCCAAGTATGAAAATATCCACAAATAAGAGTGACTGACTAGTGTAATGACTTGATGGAAATCATCCAACGGTGTTTTGAAAATCAATAAGGCTTTAAAGCGAGTGGGAAGCATGTGGCTTCTTGGTGGTGACGAATTGTATCTATCAAATGAATCAATCGTTGGCTAACTATATTTTGATAAGATACTAAGTCACATAAAATGAAAAATAAAGACATATAAGTCTTAGAGGTGACGTCACAAGAAAATTATCAAAGGTGGGATAATTTTCGAAGAGAATTTAGCGGATCCTTTAACTAGACCACTAAATAAAAAAAAAATTAGTGGCACCTATTTTAAGTAGGATGGGGTTGAAACTCCTAATCTATAAAGGTCCACCAATGACGGCAACCCTATCTGTCATTACTCAAAAGGTAATTCACAGGTTCAAAGGGTAAAAACAAATCATTCGATATGTGGGATAGTTTCAGCATTATTAAAATCCGTGATAATCATATCCTAAGTAATAATGCTGGTTGTTACTGAATTGAGGGTTGAGCATTAAAACTCTTAATGAAATTCAGTACTAAAACACAAGTACCTTTAAAAGTAACAAAGGTGCTAGAAGAATTTCACCAAACAAACTTCAAGGTGGTGCCGCCTCAATTGAGAGTTGGAGTTTCTCTTTTAAAAGTTTGTTGAATAGGATGAGCGCAAGGCCATAACAGCGCTAAGCGAGTTATGAGGAACTTGAGAACACGTGGTACTCGTGTGTGTGTTCGAACTGGTATTGTCACATGGAATAACTGGTTCAAAGCTACGGCTACATTTAATTCTGACTATACTTTGTTTGGATTACACTATGGTTAGATTCAAATCGAAAGATATCTAATCCTTATGCATGAGTATCGTATGATTTGAATATGAGGTTTTTTAATTGAATTTCGAACTAGTGAGGGATTGTTGAAATTGTTGTTCGAAAATTCAATGGAAAAACGAAGTGGAATGGAAGTGGAACAAAAGCGAAATAGAAAACCAACCGGAGGCCTATTACATATGCCATGCGACCACAAGGCACTTAGTACATGTGCCATGCGACCGCAAGGCACTTTGGCCATGCGGTCGCATGTCCATTACCCGAGAATGGAAGCCCAGTTTCGAGTACTCCATACGATCGCATGGAGTTATACCATGCGGTCGCATGGTAGTTCCGGAGTGACCGTTGGAGACGGTTGTGGTTTGAAATTGGCGGCTTTTCTATTATGAATTGGCACCACTTCGCATAGCCTTGTTTCATGGCTATATATAGGTAATTTGTAATCATTTCAAGGGTGTGAAAAATCATTACAAATATGAGAAAAACACCTTGTAATCCAAATATTATTCCACATTAAATCAAACACTTGATTTCTCATTCATATTTAATTTTTCCTTGTGTTCTTAAAGTTTTGGAGGATCGTGCTTATACTTTAGTGTTAGATCCTTTACAAGGTTTGATATAATTCTACAAACCGTTTGCCAAAATCCTTAAGCATCTCAAACAATCCCGAGAGGAGGCAAATATAATTTGAGGACAGCGATTACGCGTTCGAGCCTTCATGTTCGTTATGTTCTTCATCTTCTTTGTTTCATCTTCTTGATTATATTTTCTGGAATTTTCTTCTCCATTTTCCTTGGTTGAAGCAAATATTTCCAACAAGTAGTTCCATTATTCGTTCTTATCATCCGATAATGATAAGTTTCACGGTTCTGGGATAAAACTTAATCCTTGGATGGTTAAGAATGTTTCCAAATCTTGTGATTCAATGCCGAAGAAGAAATCTGAGGTATCAAGAAGCGGTGCAGCGACACCAAATCCACAAGTGTTATCCTCTAAACCATGGAGTAAAGAATCAAGGTTCAAGAATCCGGGCAGATCAAATTTGGAAGGTCATGTTCGAAAGAGAAAACAAGTAGTCTACGAAGATGAGGATGACGACGACGACCAAGCCATTGATATTATTAGGGCAGTTCGCTATGATCCCAAGAAGTTAATTGATGATGCAGATGACTTTAATGTGGGGGCAACTTATTCAGATACTCATAAGAAAGATACTCGGAGGGCGCGAAGATGGCTATTTAAAAATATCGTAGAACAAGAAAAGAGGGAGACAAAGAAACGCAAGATGTATTGAGTATTATAATATTCTTGTTTCCTCTTTGTACTTGGCAACATTGTGCTTGTTTAGTTAGCTAATGTAGTTTTTTGTTATACTGATGTAATTGTAATTGACATTTTTTTTATTTTTTGGGGTGAAATATAGACATGATATTGTTTTGTTAGCGTCAATTTTGAGTCCTGCTACATATTTCTTTTGTCAATATCATGAATGTTTCAACTTTTTTACGGATTTAATAGTTATAGAATCACCAGAATTTATCGGTTCCAATTCAGATTGTTATATTCACGTATTGTATAGTAAAGAATAATCAGAATTTAATCAGTTCTGATTCAAATTGACCATTAGAAAATGTTTGATCTGTTCTCCGTACAATCCTCCCCAAACATGCTATTGAACTCAAGTAGAAAATTTGCCAAACAGAAAAAGGTAAAAGAAAATTATTTATACACCATTAAAAATAAATTCCCCCATTCATACTGCAATCACTGGCATGGAGTTCAGTCGTAACGTTCTTCATTATTTACGTACGGCCTTTTTCCAGTTTTCGAATTAGGTTCCTCCAGCGTCAAGCAAAAGCATAACTTATACAGAAGGCATTTACATGAACAAAATACTATCTATCACTGTCATTTCATGCAGCGATTTGCTCTTCTTTAAGTTGCAAAGTCATTGCCATCTGATCTTTGTTCTCATAATCCATTTCTTTATGTAAGGAAGGATTGTTGGCTTCTGATTTCTGCGATCTGCTGTATCTGCCTGTAGGGATTTCATGATCATGTTTGCCTTCATATGTCGTTATAACAGATTTGAAGTCGGTCGAAGACCTCTCAACGTGTTTACGGACATTGCATCCAGCATGTGTACATTTGTAGTAACTCCTGTAGAGAGAATTTAGATGCAACATTGATCATCTTCAACAAAGAAGTACAGGGAGAATTTTGATCTATTGGTCTCAAATACAAACAAATACATATTGAAAAGTTTAAGACAAGTCAACAGATTGAAAATTCTTTCAATTTGACTGCGCAACGCCATGGATCATTATAATGGTTAGTATCAGATCAAGAGTAAACCAAAAGCTCGTTAGTCAACTTCTTTAAAAAAGTTGGCACTACATTTCTCTACAGAGAGTATATTTTCGTCTGAGGTTGGTAGCTTATGATCTCATGCATCATACTAAGATATTTTGGAAGACCATCATATTGACCTGAGGCTCCTCTTGGTAATAACCAGTTTTGAGTTAGGATGTCGGCTTCTTTATCATCAGATCAAAACAGGGGCCTTGATGTTACACCATAATGTCACTTTCCCTACATTTGTTTCACACGCTAGGGTTACCATCAACCTCAAGGCTATGCTCTTCCCCATGTGATGCCAACTTTTTCAGCTATTTTATGCAAGGGTTATCTCCCCCATGTTGAGTTATACTTCATTTAGTTTTAAGTTGGAACCTCGATTCCCTTGTCTGAAATCCTATATATTTAAAAGAGCTTTCAATATGTCAACTGAAATGCCAATCTCAAAAAATGCACTACAACACGTCAAGGATATCAAATCGAAGATTTTTTATCCATAACTGACTTAGCACTTATCTATCAATCATTTTCTATTCCAAATATTGGAGAAGATTTCATCTAGTTCATGCAAACAAATAAAATGAATGTGCAAATATGTAGTCTCTAAACAATCTATTCAAAAGCTAAAGGGAATTCGAATCAAGTTTTCATGCAATCGCACTGGGTAGCTACTCTTTCAAGGTAGCCCACAACCTCTGATATGGTTCCGAGGTTTAGAAGAAAGCTTCTTAAAAGCATGGAATTCCCTTGTCATACCTTCACCCTACAACCGAAAAGTCCATAATCAAAAGGGCCTTGCTTGGAAAGTTAGACCTTCATGAATCCCGGCTTCTAGGACCGGCCACACATGAGAAGCATCTCGCCTCAGAAAAAGGTTGAAAAAACACCTTTCCATTTTCTCTCATTTCAATCTCAGCGAGTTCGGTTTTGAGGAGCATCAGTTCTATTAGCCACTGCTCCCATAACAGACAGACTCGGCGGCTCCATCCCTTTCGCTACATTGAGGCTTAAATAAGAAAAAATTCCAGTTCTTTTTCAACTCTCTTGCTTCTTCTTATGTGGAGATTAATGTCCATAGAGCCACAAATTTGGCATAAATTAACAAATTCAAAAGCAATTTTCAAATGGCTACCAGTACCACTTGCCATCATATGAAGATTAGTTCCCCAAAACAGAAAATATAGACACGTGCACATATAGAGAGAGAGACGTATGTGCGTGTGTGTGAAAAGAGGTCTGGAGGAAACTAAAAGGTGTGGATGAATTCATTGAATCACACTTCCAAACAGAAAGTAATAAGTTAAGCTCAGTTTTTCAAAAACTAAGATCCTTCAGAGTAAAGAAATTAACTTCAAGCAAAAAGTCAACTTTAACTTTTACATTAAGAGTAAGGTTAACTGCTCAAATAAGACACATCCAGATTAGAGATATCAAGACTGAAACTGTTTTACTCTGATTAATAACAGTTAACAACTTCATGCAATCAACCTAATAAACGGATCATCTTTATGAAAGAATAGCAATTTTGAAGTTCAAATCTTTGACAGGAAACTCCTCTTCTACACAGTGTAGTAATTGTTCAAAAAATTTATGTTTTGATCATGACGTCTATGAGACTCTTAGATATACTAAGAGGTCAAACTTGGTCACATTTTATTTATTTATTTATTTATTTTTTTGAAAAAATTCACATATATTTTCGTCCAAAAGTTATAGACCAACTTGCAATGTTAAGTTTTCCTTATATTTATCAAATAATACGGCAAGAATCAGCCTTTCTCATATTTAATAATTTATCAAACAATATGGCAATAATAAATTCAAAAACAAATGGATAGCAGGAAAGTAGAAAAGGCCACGTAACAAAAGGAGTCGCACCTTGGATGAGGATTCCCCTTGACCACCTTCTGGCCGTATTTTCGCCATTTATATCCATCATCCAACAGATCAACTTCACTTCTTGTCTGCAGAACAATCCTAGATTCTGTAATTGTTTTATGTGATGGTGCTTGCATGGATGACCCGATCTCAATGCTCCTGCATCTCAAAGGGAGTTATACCACATAAGTAAATGATTGAGTAGAAAAATATGTTTATCGGGATAATTTAAAATATAAAAAAATGCATATAAATTTTACCTTCTCTTTGTATTTGGTTCATCATCATCCCCGTCATTTTTTACAATTGTCGAATCTTCCACTTCATCAAGATTAATCGAGCCGGGAAGATGCTCAGATACTGATTGTGTAGATACCTGAACTTTTGAAGGCCCAGGTTGAAAAGGTACAACCCCCTTTTCCAGGCTCATTTCACTCTGAATCTGTGAACTAATTACCGGCTTCACCTGGGAGTTCGAAGTTCCCTCCAAAGCACAACTATCTCTTCCACGTTTAGAGGGTTGAGGCACATCATGATTGTGCTGCCCTTTGTATGTAATCTCAGTTATATGACCATCAACAGAACGCTCAACCTTCTTCTTGACAGGGCAATTAAAATGTGTACATTTGTAGTAGCTTCTTGGACATTCACTTGCCTTTACATGCTTCTGCCCATATTTCCTCCAATTGTAGCCGTCATTAGTTGGTTTATTAACAGCAACAGAAGCAGGTTTCCGTTCAGACAGAGAAACCTCAGACTGCTCTATCTTTGAACTCGTTTGTTCAGGTGGCAAAGATATTATCTGGTTTTGTGAAGATTCATTGGGTGCAGATGACATATGATGTGCAGTTGTTTCAGCAGAATTTGCAGAAGAAGATCGTTGAAATTCTGCTTGCATCTGCATATAAGATTGGGATAATGCTGCCTGAGCCGTAACATGTGCAAGAGCTTGCTGGTGGGACATCCCAAATGGACTCTGCATAAAATGGGGCAAAAATGATCATCGTTTTTAAGGAGCAAATTTAAGAGGCAACCCATCTAGAGGGTTGAATTTTAAATTTCTAGCCTTACTCAAATTAAACCAAAAATAAAACATCTAAGTTTGGCTTCATATCCATCTGAACCCCTAAATTCCATCCTGCTCAAGGACTTGAAACAGTGTGTAGCCCTAATTCTGAATAAGTACTCTTCAACATAATTTAATTCCCTGAGAAAATTAACAAGCTCTCTATTTTGGCAAGTTAAGGCCTTACAGTTAAGGAATTTCAGCTTGCGATAATTCTTTAATATCCCCAAATAATTTCAATCCACGGAACCAAAAGACACCCAAATTACCACAATTTTATTTCTAAAAAACTGCACTATGTTTCGTGGCACAGAATTGAGGGCTAAAAATAAACTTCTTATAAATTTCAATATCCAAAAAATATTTCATACTTCACAACGAAATTCACTAGATAAATCAAAGTTACCAGAAGTGGGGACAAAAACCCAGGTGAATTAAGCAATCCAGAAGGACTCAGCCCAGGTGGAATCATAAATAAGGGACTCAAATTCTGAGGATCCAGCGGCATCTGCTGCGAAGCCACCGCCAAATTCATCGGCCTGTTCCGCTTATAACCCGTAATACTATCATTATTTTTTCCACTACCATCACCAGAATTCCCTCCTTTCTCTTCCCCGAAATTATTGTCCATCGAAAAAGGCCCGGGCTTGGCAATCGGCGAAGCCATAGCTCCAGCCAAAAGCTGAGAGAAAGAAAACGGACTTTGCTCGGAGAAGAAGCCGGAAACCAGAGTCAACGGACCCGGACTGAATCCAGGCAACGATCCAGTTGTATCCATGAAACCCCGAGGCGGCACAGTAATTGTCGGCCGTGACACCGCCGTGCCTTTTGAACCCGCATCACCGCCTGTCACAGTCTCACCCATTCTTGATTCTTTATTTCTTCACCCCAAAAGCTTCAAAGTAACCCGAAAAACTTTTTTTTCCTCACACTATCTATCTAGTTTTCTAATGGTTCGATTGCTTCGCAAGAAGTGAAAACTGAAAAATTAGTAGTGTGCATCTGGGTTTTGTTTGGTTTTCCAGTTTTCTCCAGCTCCACCGGAGTCTTGTATATATGCATGTATGTAGAGATACAAATTGCCACTTGTGAAAGCAGTAACTGCTGGGACCCTTAAACATGAGTCGCCAACCAAGTTGCTCTTTCTCTATCCATCTGTCCTCTGTCGGTCTTTAGCTTTTCGTCTCATCTTAAGACTCTGTTTTATAAAATATAAATTTAAATAACCAAATTTTATTTTCAACCAAATTAACAAATTTTAGACAGATCTAATCGACGTGTAGCTCGGTATAATTGAAATGTGACGACTAAATTCGAAATTAAATGTAACTTCAATTATCGATTTTTAGTTAAAGTACGAAATTTTACATTAACTTTTTGTGATGAAATGTGTTGGACGTTTTACGAGATAAATTGAATGTGTTTTCACCCTAATTTTAAACACCAAAATTTATTTTCAATTCTTGTTAGACATGGGTATTTTGTGTCTGTTTGGGAGCGATTTTTTCATCTAAAAAATTAATTTTTTGACTGTTGATTCATTATTTCAACTGTCATATTTGATTTCTTCTCTTACATGTGGACCTTACTTTTTTCTTAACGGTCAAAAAATCAATTTTCAAAATCACTCCCAAACAGGCTCTTTAATCAAAATCAAAAGTTTAGATCTGGTTCTAGAAGAAATTAAGAATTGAATCGCATTCTTGAATCGAAATTGTGGGCACCAGACTCTATAATCGAATTTATCATTTTATAAGTTTTTTTTTTAATTTATTCATCCCGACCTAATGATCCGATGAGATGGAATGAAAATTCAACAGGTTGATTGTTATGTTATTTTCAAATGAATATTTTATTTTATTTTTGTACTTTCTTATTTTTGTTTTCTAATTTTTGATTTGTTTTTTGAGTGTGTAATTTGGAATTTATGCTCTGAATGTTACCTGATGACTTATTTGGTGGCTTTATTTGCAATGGATTCAAAAATGTTGAAATATACACTTAGTGATTTATTTTAATTTATCTACTTTCTACTAGATATTTAAAAGATAATATGTATTGTTATCTCAACTATTTTTTAAAAAAAGAAAAAAAAAATATCGATAAGACTGAACTTGAATTAGAACCAGAACTGTATGGGTTTGGTTCTAGAGATTACGTAGACACGAATGGTTCAATTACGAAAAAATCGAAGTGTAATGAATGATATCGGATATTGTAATATCAGTAATGAATGATTTCAAATATATTGGACTGATCTATCTTCAGACCAAGCATACTCCTTTTGTAGAAGAAATGCTACTGACTGCAAGTGGGCTGCTTACGGTTTCATAATTTTTTTTTTTATTCGAAATATGAAAAATGAATTTCCAGTTTAATTAGAATTTTAATACACATAAAAATTTTATAAATAATCTAACAGGTGAACCAGTGGTCCCAACCGTGTTAGGCGAGGGCAGTTGGTTCACTAGAAAGGTACACTGGATTTGCTCTTTCAACTTGACAAATGGTACCATTTTATTAATGAAAAAGTGCATTTTAGCCGCCAGTAACCTAGTAATATTGCTACTACCTATTAAACAAAACTAAATTCTATCAAATTTGTGGATTATTGATTAGACACACATTATTTTTTAATATCCCCACGTGAAAGAAACGATGAGGGTCAAGAATTGGACATATTATAGACCCACATAGCGTGCTAAAAGGTTGAACTTCTCTCAATCTTTGCTTTGTGCAATTGTTCTGATTGCATTTAGTTTAAACCATTTTTTATTTTTGAATTAAATTGTTCTTTTGGAAGTCCACATCAACTATCAATTCTAGAGCTTATCTTGTTAAAAAGTCAACAAATTGTCAATGCACGGTAGAATATCTAACTTAAACGTGTATGTTACTTCTAATAACAATAAAGTTCAAGATAAGCGGCGAAACATGTCAACCATAAGATGAATAGAAGAGCTCAATTGGAACATGACTCGAAAAACCATGTAAATATTCAGCTAGAACATAATAAGTTTCGACTATTATTTATAGATAATTTCACAATTGATCATTTCAAAAGTAATTTGTATCTACTCTTGAAGCTTTTAGAAATTCCAATCAATTTAATTATAAATTGATGGGAATTTCTAAAAGCTTCAAGAGTAGACAAAAATTACATCTGAAATGATCAATTGTGAAATTATCTATAAATAATATATAATTAAATTGATGGGAATTTTTAAAAGCTTCAAGAGTAGATAAAAATTACTTCTGAAATGATCGGTTGTGAATTTATCTATAAATAATAGTCGAAGCTTATTATGGCAAGTACCCGCTTCTTATTGCAATCCTCCCCCATCGAATTAAAGTGAGGTAAAGAGGAGTCACTATCAATTGAATAAGCGTATCAAAGAGAATGAGGTCTAGCGCCCCGGAAACACGGAAAGATATGCAGCACTCTTTAACTAATCTTTTCCAGGATGCTAATCTCCCACTGATGATTCACCCAGACGAATCCTCCTAAACATGGAATCGGGGTGCTGCTCGGTCCAAGAAAAAGGAGTTCCAGCTTCGAGATTTGCTGTTTATATCACTTTTCGTTCATTTCCGCCACGAAAACATAGCCGACATAATAAAATAAGAAGCAGGCGAAGCAGCTAGAAGCACTCGCTTCACGCCCTTGAATTCTTATTCACAAATGAATTGGGAAAGCCAACAGAAAGATTCGATATTCGATTCTGACTTTCGTAGAGCCGATGCTGTTGTTGCCTGTGCGTAAGGCCGCCCTCCACTCCCGTCCTCGGGCGCTAAGGGGCTTTTGTTTTTGGAACAGACGACAGTCTTTTGCTAACGCCTCGAATCAAGCTTTTATTGCAACATGTTATGTTTTCTCCCCCATTGCTAGTAGGTTGATGGGTCACACGCCCAAAACACATGTTTTGGCCTTGTGTGTCCATAACTCAAAATAGGGGTGTGTGTGTGTGTGTGTGTGTGTGTGTGTATTACAATTTATTGATTGATTATAATTTATAAAAGACAAATAGAGAATTCTCTACCAAATATTCTTCTCAATCTCTACTAAGCAGCACACCATATATTTTATGGCACAGAACATTCAAAAGAAATTCTTGTATACCGTCGAAATCCAGAAAGATATGTTCAATATAAAAAGACAAAGAAAATATTTCATATAAGTAGACTCAATCTAATCTTCTCAATAAATAGTCGACTTGGACTTCTTCGTCAATGGTATAATCCAGTCCCCATATAGATCGACAACTAGGCTCAGAGTAATTTTGTACACTTGAACCACATCATCTTCACCTACATTCGCAGTGACCTCTTGCCCATGTGTTTGGGTTTTCATTTCTACCTTTTTTTTATTGTCTCTTCGACTGTAGGGTAGGTCAACAAATCCATAAGCTTGGATCGATCCTAAAACATGCCCAAAAAATTGGAATTGTCAATATCAAAGCTTATGGTTACCATAACACAAGGAAGAGTAAACTTAGAGGAGTTTAGTGGAGTTAAGGAATGTCTGAATTGACCACATTTACCTTTGCACTAATAGCAGATTCATAAACATTTGGGGAAGATCAAAATTTTGCTTCTGCTACGAATTTGCCA